TTTTAGTTACTTATAGTTCTCTTCTATTATATAGTATAAGTAAAACCCTAAGGGTTTTACTTGGTCATTCAGTTGCAAATATTTACAAGTTATATTGTATATAAAACGGCTTAATATTCGGGAAAACATCCAATTGGATCTAAGGAGTTATTTCCTCCATAATCACAACGTGGTAACCATTTTCTATTATTATCATTTCAAATAGTAAAAAAATACTTTAAGAAATACAAACAAAAAAATGGGAAATTCTTATGAAATGGGGTTGAGAAGAAAATATTCAAAAAATAAGCGGCAAATTCGTATTGGAAAAAAGAGAAGAGCTCTTGAATTCAATCAATAATAATTTATTATTTAATCAATTGTATATTTTTAATGTAGTAATACTAAAAATACTATCAATTATAGTTTAATAAATACCAGTAAAAGAAAGAATTTGTTAGACAAATGGAAACATAATAACCATTCAATGGACATCCCAGTCATCAACGAAAAGAAAAACAACGTTCTCAACAGTGCAGACTTTACGTCGCGCTATTCTAATGTTCCTCTCGTCCCTGCGACAAAATTGTTCAAACACAAAACAAAGCTGTTCGACACAATTTCAATTGAAAACGTGAGACAAGGAGAGTTCGAAGACTGTTTTTTGGTGTCTTCTTTGGCGGCTTTGACTGAGCAACCAAATTTAATTAGAAAGTTATTTAACTTCACTGATACATATGATCTGAACGGATACTACTATGTCAGGCTGTATTACAATGGGATGCCAGTCGTTGTAGCCGTCACCACAAAAATTCCCGTCGACCCCAAAACTGCGAGTGAAATTCCTCTCTTTTGTAAAGCGAATTATAACGAGACGTGGGCATTCCTCGCCGAAAAGGCATATTCCATTCTCTATGGCGGATACAAGAATTTGGTCGGTGGATGCTGTGCCGAAGCCCTCAACACACTCACCGGATTTCCAGTCGCTGCGTATCCAATTCAACACGCCGACCCTGTAATTCTTCTTGCCAAAATGCAGAAGTGGAAAAACAAGAAGTATTTGATGTGCGCAACGTGTTCAATTGACGACCACGAACCAGCCGACTCGAAATTTGTCGACAACCACGCGTATACAGTCATCTCCGTCGACGATACAGTCGGCTCCGACAATTTTGTGGAACTCCGCAATCCATGGGGCAAAAGCTGCGACAATGACGAATTCATCAAAATCTCTTTTGTCGACTTCTACAACAAGTTCATCGATCTTGCGGTCCTCCGCGTCGACCCAACTTTCGAGAGTTATTTCTTCACCAAGGCCTGCTTCGACAAACCGGATAAAATAAAGTTATTCGAATTGAAAGTGACTTCCGAGTGCCGTATTGCGATTGGCATCCACCAAAATTCACACTCCGACAAAATGTGTGGTGTACGGGCGTGTGTATTAAACTCGGACTGCAGAATGTCTCTGGGAGGGAAGGAGACGTTTATGGAGATGTTTTATGTTCGTGGCGGGGAGTATAAGTTGAAGCCTGGCTGTTATAACATTCTCATAGATAGAGAAACTTCATCGATTGGTACAGAGAACGAGTTTTCACTTTCTCTATTTTCGACGCTTAAATGTGGTGTTTCGTTCCACCAATCGAAGAATGAGATTTATAATAAGAAGTCGAGATTTTTAATGCCAAACTATCAAAAACAGTTTGGAGTATGTGCTGTGTGTTGTGAGTCGTTGAATTGTGATTCAATCAGAGTGGGAGGGCTTATTATTCACCCTGAATGTGACCATTGCTATTTGTGCCGCTGTCCATTAGAGGTAAATCATATAGGGATCAAAGCACTACACATTTATTGTGACGTTTGCTTTGAAAAGATTAAATAGTTTTGTTATTAGTTTTTTGTTATTCAATTATAGTTTGTGGTATTGAGATACCAATATAAGTAAAAATATTATTAATATTTAAGTTCTCAAAATGAAATGAAAGGATTGGAAGGGAGGAACAAAACAACGGATAAAACGAGAAGAAATATGGGGAGTGGCGAATGCGAAGAAACAAAGACAAGACGTCTCCGTTTGTGTCAAGTGTTAAAAACATTACAGACACGAACGACAACGAGTTGCACTTTTTGTCGGACAAACAAACCGACAAGTTCAACAAAAAGTTCCAATTCAGCGAATACTTGGCAAGGAAGTACAGATGCAGCATGAACAATATATTCCACATTGGGAAGCTATATATTGGGACCCGGCATCTGTGTTTCTTACCTTCGAAGTTTATTGGGAAGAGCGCGACAGTGGTGAGTTGGAGCGAATTGACTGATGTTGTCAAAGTGTCATCAAGATGTATTGAAATACATACAGACGACAACCACACAATGGTTTTACTAACAAACACTAAGACAGAAAGGATCTTTCACGACATGGTACTCTTCTGGCAAAGGCGAAGTATTTTCAACGAAAAGCAAAGGGAAGTGAAAGACGAGAGCTCCGAGTTAACCGATAAAAACTCGGAAAAGAAGGAGACACAACGACTGTTCACAGAGGTCCCGGAGATGGTGCTTACATCTAAGAAGTTTTCAAAAGCACCAAACGACCTGTTTATGTTGATATTCAGTAATTGCGAAGTGCTCAAAACATTCCACGAAAAAATTGGACAAAAGGACTTCAAGTGTTCGGGTTGGAAAAATGACTCAAAACATGGAAAGACGATCGAGTTGAACTACAAAGGCGTTTCGAGTGTTGTTGGTGTCGAGACTCGAGTGAACGAAAAGTGGCAGTTTGTCACAACAGAAAAGGGAATAGAAATTTGGATGGTGATTTCGGTGTTTGATATTCCTTACGCGAGCTACTTCAAAGTTGAAAGTGTCATGAAACTGGAGACGTGCGATGGTGGGTGTACAGCAACAGTGCTTCTCAGGGTCAGATTTGTCAAGTCGACGATTTGGAAAACAAAAATCGAGTCTACCACAATCAATGAGTACGTCAGTAAATACAAAAATTGGATGAAGTTCATCGCAGCTGAACTCGGCGATGAAAAAGCCATCGAAGAAACTAAAATGGATGTTAAAGCCGAAAACGCACACATCTCTTATTTTTACATCATGTTCTTGGCTATTATTCTCGCTTTGATAATCCTAGCAGCAGTTTGGTATTTCTTGAGAAAGTAACTTCTTTGTTTATTATTCAATTTCACACTTGTTGTACAGATCAATAACTTTAAACAATACACATTAACGATTGATGTTGTTTGACAAAAAAGAAGTCGACATAAAAACTAAACAATTTCAAACTTAATATTTATTTTAGATGAAAATATAACTAACTTTTGCTTAAAATAAAAAAAATATCCTTTTGAAATTATTTTTATGTATTGAAATTTTTAGTTATTAATATAGAAAAATTAAAAAACTAAAAACAATTATTACATTTAATAAATTTTATCATTTTCATTTATGGTTTTTATTATGTAATATTCGATATTATAAATAATATTATTTGTTTTTTCTAATGGTTTATTTGTTTTTCAATTTAACCTTTTTTGTTTTGTTTGACTTTTCTACTAATAATTATAAAACATAACCCAAAAAATTAAACAAAAAAAACGCAAATTTATTAATGAAAAATCCAAAAACAAAAAAAAATATATATTTTTTAATGTTTTTTTCCGTTTTTTGAACAAATTTTAGTTTAAAAAATGTTAAAAAAACGGGTAATTTTTTTTCGTAAAAAAACGAACTTTAAAAAGACCAAAAATAGCACATCTAAAAAATGAAAAGATTTTTTTATGGAACAATTTAAATTAATTTGCCTTTTTATACATATGTATGATACAAATAATTGTTATTATCATACCACTTTTTTTAACATTTTTTAAACTTAAAAACAAGTTTATGAAAAAAAATCAATAGTTATAGTAAATTTTATAATAAAATAACTACGATTTAACTATACTATATTGCCTTCCATTACAAATGTTTTTAAAATATCATTGTAAGACCAATCAAACGAAACAATCAGAAACTTAAATATAGAGAGAAATTCAATTGAAAAATCCGAAAAGAAACTGAACTATATGGAATGGTATAATCAACGAAGAAAATGAAAAAGTGATATTTATACTCTATAGATTCATCAGATAGAATGACCCCAATAATATTAAGAAAACTATATTATAATAAACTATAATACTCCTCAAATACCAACTTGCCTCTTTTCATCTTTTCATTTTTTCATCGAAGATTAAAAATGTTGAATACTATAAACAACTAAGATAAATTAAACTATAAAAGTCATGTTGTCATTACTGCCATTGTTCGTCACGATATTTGGCGCACTCTCGGAACCGAGTTTTCACTGTTATAACCCAGTGAATCGGACTATTCTCATGTACTTTAACACGGAGAAAGGTAAGTTCGACTGTTTACCCCTTCCACCGACTGTTCGAGTTGATTGGGTTGGGACCGATGACTTTGGAGGGACATATTATATTGGGAATGGTACTGCCGATTATATCGGGAGTACTACTTTAAGTATTGTTCAGATGTCACGATCGAACAATTCGGTTAATGTCGATTGTAAGAATCCGATAATTTTTGAAGCGGGACATGGCTTAACTAATATGACATTAGTGGACTATGGCGATCGTACGTATTGGTCCTTTGATAACAAGAACTTACCGGAAGGCTTTGGGTTTGAGTTTAAGAAGAAGCCATTAGTATGGGCACCTACTACTTTGAATGTTACATCGAAGAGTACTGTGTATATGATAGCTGACGATTATATGTACTATCATATCTACAAGAATGAGAGCGACGCTTTTATCTACTACGAAGGCTTATCAGATGTCAGTGGAAGTATTCCATTTGTAAGAACACATCGGTACGACGATACGTCGTACGACTGCGTCTACCAATTCTCGTCGAAAGTCCTTCTTATGCCCGATGTCTCCGATTCAAACTTTAAGATGATCAACGTCTGTGAGAGGAGAAACGTCACGCGATATCTCCAATGTTTCTGGTCGAAGGGACAATTCACCGACTGCACGTGTAAGTCGACGACACACGAAAAGACTTTGAAAACGTCGAATGGGCTCAATTACCCGGACTGTCTGCACTTGTCGAAGCTCTACGACTTGGGGCTGAACTATGAAAATACACAACTTTTGATTGATACCCCCCTCACAGCAACTTGGAACGATTTTGTCATCCCACAACGTATGGAATCTCTCACTGTTGACTTCGACACAGAAAAGGTCAACAAGGAAGATCAAGTGTTGTTCATAGACAACGACTTCTCACTGCCGACATTCCCATTTACCGTGAATGGAGGATTTATAGTGAATGGGGTGTTGACTATTGAGACGGCTGCTGAGTACAGTTTTGACGAATTGTTCTGCCAAGAGATCTCGGTCGACTCGTTGGTTGAAGCCAATGTCATCATCTTTTCATCGAAAGTGAATTTGACAGTGAAAGAGAAATTAGTGAGTCAAGGGTTAGTGAGTGTGTGTGGTGCTGATGGAGAGACGCAGCGATGGGTGAAGAAGGCGGAGAGTCAATTAGTGTCTTGTGGGTGTCGAGTGACGGACGACAATTCATTCTCTGAATTTGATTGTAATAGAACGTCATTGGAGAAGGCGAGTCAATTAGAATTGATGATGTCAAGAAGTGAATATAACGGACAACATTTCGATCGCTATTGGAAGGCAATTCTCTTTGAAGGAAGTGGGAAGAGGACATTAAGTGGGAAGAGTCATACTATTACTACCTGTGCGTTCCAAAGCTCAAATAAGGAATATGCCATTAACACCAATTTGATGTGTACAAATACGGAGATCAACTCAGGAGTCTCTATTGAAGTCAATGGAGCTTTTCAAACAAAGAGTTTGACGATTAAAGGAGACTTTTTAAAAACTAACGACGCACCAATTTTTAGAGCAAACTCGTCGATGTTTAATGAACTGAATGATATCACTGTTGAACAAATGACAAGTTCGTCGACGGAGTGTATCAATTTGGTGCTTTTTACACAGAAGCAAGAGGAAGTGACGAGTCGAGTAGTTGGAGAGTATACTTTGTTCTCTACTGACCAAATATTAAGGCTGTGTCCAACAAATCATATTGACACATCTATCACTTGCGAAGTAACGAAAGATGGAACTTTTGTTCTACCACAATGCCCTTGTCAAGGAACTAATTGTGTTGTTGAAGTCCCGGAGAGTGTCTCTGTGGTAAGTAATAAAATTATCGACTCATCATTTACTGGAACACTGAAAATCAATGGAGATGTTACGATTGATTCAGTCGAGTTCATTCAACAATTACTCACTACACAAAGCGCGATATTGACATTTTCAAATTCGGAACATCTCACTGTTGAGAGTCTCCAAACAAGTGGAGAGACGTTGATCGTCTCGAAAATCAAACTTTCAATTACACACGCGGCAAATCGATTTTCAATCAAATCGGAGGGAGAGGTCACATTTTTAAATGGCGACGTGTTGATCGACACCATCTACGAGACGGAGAATGGGAAGATATATATAGCAGAGAACGTCAATAAAGTTGATATAACAAAGGTGGTCTCCTCTTCCATCCCTCAAGTGGAGGTCATCACACTTCTTCCTTCTTCTAGCGTACTAACACTTAATCGGCCTCCATTTTTCATCGACGAAACTACAACAGAAAATCGCGTTGTCGCATTTACGAAAAATCGAAAGATCGCAGGGAAGAGTGAATGTGACAATCAAGCGCGACTGAGTCAAGAGCCCACGTCATCTTCTATTGACTGTAAATCACTGAATTTAAATGAGCATAAGTGTTACTACTCACAAAATGGGTTCTTTGTCGAGAAAGGCGAACATCCCGATGTCTCATGTCCATGTAATACCGACAGTGCGGTGCAGTGTAGTATTGAGGTTTTCGAGAGTCCGTCGACTTTAGAAGTGACTTCTAATCTCACCACGTTAATTATTAACACTGATTTGACTATCACCTCAAGTGCTAAAACATTCACTCTGAAAGCTTCAAGTGCGGTAAAGACTGTGACGATTGTTGGAAGTAATAACCTTCTTATTCTCGACACGGAGAAGGGGTTACTCTTGAATGTCCCCAAAGACAACCTCCTCACTATCTCTCCAAATCAACTGTGGAACGGATTTGCTCTTCCAAAGGTTTCGTCTCCAAATGGTTTAAAGTTAGCGACGAGTGTTGTCACTATTATCAGTTCAGAAGAAGCGATGTGTACAATTGGGAGTACTACAGACAGTGGCTTTGTCTGTCTCCAATGTGGGACGGTCGGTGTAGTAGATGGGGCTTGTGCACAGATCGATCAATGCAAGATCGTCTATACTAACACAAAAGACATATTCTGTGCGCTATGTCAAGATGGGTATGCCCCAACGAGTGACCGAACATCATGTAAAGCGTGTTCTTCTCTTTGTTTAACATGTGAGTTTACCAAAGCGGATGCTTCGAGTCCTGAAACTGAGAAGTGTCTGAAGTGCAAATCTGGATATAAAGAAGTGAATGGTGTATGTACTCCATTCACGGACCAATGCAGTTACTACTTGAATCAGAAGTGTGTGAAATGCCCGAGTAAATACTCTTCGAATGGTGTGAGTGATTCGTGCACACAAAATTGCGCTGAAAATTGTCTTGAATGTGCCATCACAGACAATACCATCTGTATAATATGTGATACAACACATGGGTATCAGCTCTCAGGTGGGAAGTGTGTCAAACCGATTGGGTCAAGTGCAGTTAGTAACGCCAATAGTATTTCATGTAGTGATATGTTTTATATACAAAATGGTGTTTGTGGGACCTGTGGGACAAATTGTTCGAGTTGTGATTCGTCTGAGTGTTATTCTTGTAGTACTTCAGACGGTGTACTTTCCAAGTCGCAGTGTGTGAGTGACAGTGGATGCACACAAACATACGAGAACAGATGCATCAGTTGTGGGCCGAAGAAGTATTTCAAGGATGGGAAGTGTATGGATATGGACTCAAGTTGTGCCATTAATAGTCAACAAGGAGAGTGTCTTGTGTGTGTCATCCGACTGATTATGTGATGCGCGAAACAGCGTGTCAGTCTAAAAGTCAC